TGTTTTTCTCCAGTTCATCTGTCTTTTTTTTTTCTGGGGTGAGGGAGTATATCCCCAGCTGAGAATTTAGAAGGCTAGGAGGAAAATTACTTTTCCTAACAAACGTAAAGACTTCACCACTGTCTACAAACATCTACAGGCTCTGGCCCCTCTGCTACTTAGAATCCTCTCATTCTCCTTGAATCGGTTTCAGCAACACTAGCCTCCTTGCTGTTCTTAGAACATGACGGGTAGGCTTCGTCTTTCTGGCGAACTTTCCTCCCAGATATCCACACAGTTTACTCCCTCTCTTATCTCTGCTTCAAATGTCACCTTAGTGGGCCGCCTGGGTGACTCAGGCGGTTGGGCATCCGCCTTCAGCTCCAATCATGGTCTTGGGATCCTTGAGTCCTGCATTGGGCTCCCCGCTTCCTGGGGAGCCTGCTTCTCCCTCTCCCTCTGCCTGCCGCTCCCCCTGCTTGTTCCCGCTCTCTATCAAATAAATAGATAAAATCTTTAAAACATGTTACCTTAGTGAAGCCAATTCTTGTCTACCCTTTCAATGTTGCCCCCTTCCTTTCCATACTCCAGACACCCCCCTCCTTTATTTCTTGCACACCACTTTTCAATTTCAAACATACTGATTGATTGATTTGGATTGTTTACTGTCTCCCCCCGCCAAATGTTAGCTCCGCGTCGGCAGGTGCTCTTCTCTTTTCGTTCATGGAGGTATTCCCAGCACTTATTTGGGTGCCAGCACAGAACAGACACTGTGTTTGAATAAGGATTTGCTAAGTGAATAAAGGAATGGATGGAAGTCTTCATGCCCGGATGATAAAAACACCTACCCATTTTTCCTCTAGTACTTCAGTGGTTCTACCCTTTCCATTTAAGTCTTTGAACTGGAATTTATTCCGGGGTCAAAAGTGTGGTATGAATCCAGATTTTCCCCCCTTCAAATGCCTAATTGACACAATTTATTGCAAAATCCATCGTTCGCCACCGCTTCATTTGAAATGTTTCTGAAAACATACTTCAGTTCCTTTTAATCAAGTATTAAGTTCGGTTAAAACTCACTACCTCCTTCATTGTGGCGAAAGGTCCCGCAGAATTAGATCTTCATCTCTTCAACCAGTTTCTATAGTGATACCAGAGCCTCACTTTGGTTTACAAAGTTATTATTTCTTGCTTATTGTAGCAAAATTGGCTATCTTCTGGACGGTGGCCGCTCTAAGTGGTTTGGAAAGTCTCCCAATCATTAATCTTATGAAATTCTTCCCTCCCTTCCTTCTAGCTCAAAACCAGATAACAGATGTTTCTAGAACGCGTGGCAGGATATCTTTCTGGCGTTTGGAGAACAGGCGTAACTAGATGCAGGGCTAGCGACCTTACATCCGCCCTTCGTGGGAAAATGCAAGCCTGCCCAGAGAGCTTCGATTTGCTCATCTCGCAGTGAGCCCTAATTTGATGATCGTAGTTTTTTTTTTTTTGAAGGTTTTTTTTTAATTAAGCGAAAGGTATTTCTTAATCATTTAATTGCCTTTAAAACTATAGAGTGCTTTTTGTTGTCGTTTGTTCTAGTATTTAAAAAAAGGTGAGCTCTTTGCAGGTAAATTGAGATTTAAGACAAGGCTACAGTATTCATTAAATACTCACTATGCCCCCATCTCATACGGAGTACCATGGAGAATAAAAAGAGCTTGCAAGTCATTCAGCCAACATTTATTTGGCCCTGATTATACTCCAAGGATACAGAGCAGTGAAGTAATATTGCTTGACTCCGTCTATCAGTCAATCATCGAGATGGCATCTGGAGAGAAACAACCAGACCGAGGGAAAATTTATAGTAAAGAGAACAACGTGTAACTATACTTAATGATAATCTAAAGGAGTAAGTTGAAAGAAAGCAGCTAAGGGAAAAATCGAGAGGATCCATGAAGGGGAGGGATGGGTTTCAGACCTTACTTTTGGGCAGTGTGAGTCCTGCTTCTCGCACTGTCCACTAGCCAGATCCCTTCCCACTGGGCTGGCCCAAGTCCCCTCTCCAGGATTACGTCAACAGTACCCTGCCTCCAGCTCCTCCCTCCCCCCATACAGTCTCCAGACAGCAGACACGGTGGTCTCTTTAAGATGGAGTCTGATGGGGCGCCTGGGTGGCTCAGTGGGTTAAGCCGCTGCCTTCGGCTCAGGTCATGATCTCAGGGTCCTGGGATCGAGTCCCGCATCAGGCTCTCTGCTCAGCAGGGAGCCTGCTTCCCTCTCTCTCTCTCTCTGCCTGCCTCTCCATCTACTTGTGATCTCTGTCAAATAAATAAATAAAATCTTTAAAAAAAATATTAAAAAAAAAAAAAAAAAAAAGATGGAGTCTGATTACCACGTGCCACCCCTTCGAAAGGCTTCCCTCTTCATTGCTACCTGGATCTAGTCAGTAGGCCCTCCCTCTCCAGCTTCTTTTGTCCCCTCTGTCCTGACTTGCATTCTGGCTTCTTGCCCTTGGAAGTCCTGTCCCCACCCCACCCCCCACACTCCTGGGCACTAATTGCAAAGACCAGACCTCTCTGGTCCTCAGAGATCCACATTTCCCTCTTGACACCCAGGGGGACAGGGACATTTATGGTAGAGTTGGCCCTGTTCTGCTCCAGACTGGGGGAGGGAGGCCTGGCTGAGTCTCAGAGCCTGGACGAAGGTCCGGTAGTGCTCTGTCTGGATTTGAGACAGAGAAAGACAGCGCCTGCCAAACCAGGGGGAAGGATTTCTTCTGATTCCTCCTGGGGCTGCAGACTGCTTGCTGAGCCCGACATTTAAGTGGTTTTTGCCAACTTGGCCGATTCCCAACTATTGGCACAGCCTGCAATTTAAATAACTCGTCCCGAAGGCAAATGGACAGGACTTTTGCTTTATTTGTCATTATTTGGCTAGGAAGTAAAGGAACCAATATGCTCGTCATACTGATTACTACTGAGTATTAGTCCCTCCCGTAATGTTAATAATCCAGAGCTGGTTCCAAGGCTCCTTGGGGTTTTTACCCATGACCTGAACAACATTTACTACTACCTGCCTGGCATATACCCTAATACACCATGGGCAGAGTAATTGTGTTTTTTTAAGGTTCTATTTATTTATTTGCCAGGGAGGGAGGGAGAGAGAGAGAGAGAGCAAGCACGCACACGAGTGCACAAGCAGGGGGCAGCCGGCAGGCGCAGGGTGGGGGCGGGGCAGAGGCAGGCAGAGGGAGAAGCCGACTCCCTGCTGAGCAAGGAGCTCCACTGATCCCAGGACTTGGGGATCAAGACCTGAGCCAAAGGCAGGCGCATCATCAATTGAAACACCTAGGCGTCCCGGGGCTGCGTTATTGTAACTGTGAAGAAGCAAAGTAACAATTGTTCATAAATCCTACCCCCACCAAGATCAACTGGTAACAATTCAGCATATTTCCTTCCAGTCGTTTCTCTCCATACACGGATTTTCGAGTTAATAATGTGTGATCTCGCGCCTTCTTCTCCCATCGTGTTCTCTTTTTTGGTGGGCTCATTCTTGTATTATCATTTGTAAGCAACAATTTAGCTCTGATCTCCACTCTGAGCATCAAGTTGTCCACGTCTCCATCCCAAACTTACTTCTCTGCAACCATTTTGGTAAGTGCCCCCCATTTATGCCAGGCAGTTTAGTCATCCACACCGACCTCTGTTGCCTCAATTCCACCCCAGCCCTTTCCCATCTGATTCATTAGCAAATTTAGTGCACCCTACCTGTCCCATACACCTAAGGATTGATTGTTCCTTCCTCCCCATCCTCACGGCCACGCCCCTAATTCAAGGCCCCGTCCGCTCTCTCCAGGTCTGTTCACACAGTCCCAGAGGTACTCCTGGTTTCACACTTAACCCTCTGCAATCTTTTAATGGGTTCCAAGATTCTGCCTAACTCCTCGGTTCCTTCTCTTGATACCCCTTTAATTCCTGACACCCTGGATCTCTTTCTGTCTCTTGATCCGTGCAGGGTCTTTCCCCCTACTTTCTGCTTAGTGCTCTCTCTTGAAAGGCACTCCCATGGCTAGTTTCTTTTCTGCATTCAGTTCTGATGTGGCTTCTAAAAATCAAATTTGGTCTCCTGTATATTGCCCACAAGAGCACCTAGTTTGCTTCCTGGCACTAATCACAACACGTAATTGTTTTGTTATTTGTATTGCCATTTTTTCCGTTGGGTTTTAAATAAATTAGAAAATGTTTAACTTTTGTAATCCCCCCCCCAACACGAGTGGATTGACATACAAAAAAAGACATAATGCCCACTTAAATTTCAGTTAACCATTAGGTTTTCTGTACATGGTCTGGGGATATACATGCTTTAAAAATATATCTGAAATTCAAACTTAACTGGGCGTCCTTTATTTTTATTTGCCAAATTTGGTAGTTCTACCTTCGACGTAAGTGCTTTCTTGCCCTTGTCTCCGCTTGTTGAGTTGTAACCCCGCAGCCAAGCCCAGAGCCTGCCTTGTAGGTGTTCAGTAATTGTTCTCTATGAAGTGACTGTCTGCTGTTTCGTACTCTTTCCTCCCCTAAGTAACGTTCAATTGTCAGAATTTTCCCCACCCACTAAAAGTTCCGGTTGAAGATATTTTGGGAAGATGTATTTGATTATCTAAACTTCTTTGTTTCCCCTTGACGCAAAATTAGCACAGTTAGGATCAACCTTCATCACATTGCTTTGAGAATTAAATGAGTTAACGGGTATAAAGTTTAGCACCGTGTCCGGCCCCCGGAATATGTAATAAATTTCAGTTCGGTATTAAACGCAGCCCTGGAAGCATTTTAGCGGAAAGCAAAAACGCGGGTCTGGGGAGCACGGGTGGGGGCTGGGAAAACGGTTACAAGCGGGCGCCGGCTAGAACGCCGAGGGCCTGGGGTAAGAGGTGGGGCAAGGAGTGAGTGACAGAGAAGAAAGCCAATGGGGAGACTGGGAACGGCTCCCCCTCCCTTTGCGTTTCAAATTCTAAGCTCGGTTTCCATCCGGGTCCTTCAGCCTCGTTCCCGGGCAGTATAAAGTTTGCTGTCTCCTTTGTTCGCCCTCGTTGCGCAGTATTGCTAGCGGCTTCCCCCTTCCGTTCTCGGATCCGGCGGCACTCCCTCGTGCTGAGCTGCTACGAAGCCCCTGCCGACGAGCTCGTAGGAGCTTGGAACCGTTGTCACCCCTCCGGTACGTGTTAGCCTTTCCTTCTGCCGTTTCGCGTGCCTTCTTGCCACGTTAGAACTTGGGATTATCTCCCTGGAGATGGGGGTGGCGGGCGCCATTTTAAGAACCGAAAGGTGCCGACCTATTTCGATAAAGCGGCGCGTGTCCGAGGAAAACAGACGTGGGGCCTCCGTCCCGCTGGGTGCCTCTCGGGAAAGTTTGGTTGTCGCCTGCGGGGGTGGTGCCGGAGGTCGGGGCTGGAACGGGACGAGGGCAGAGCGCGCCACCGCGGTACCTGCATTGGGATGGCGCTGGCGCTACGGATGGGCACGTGCACTTTTACGCGGGTCCTTGTTCATTGGCAGCCTTGGAGAGGAGGCCCTTTGACTTTTCGCAGCCACTGCTGATAGCAAAAGTTACTCCCCTGACCAGTGTAGGTTTTTCTGGGTTGAATCCAAGTGTCGCCATTTTGTGTTTTCCACGCGGTTTTTAATGACGGATTTTAATTGGATTCTGCTGCAGTCATGGAGCGTTGAGTGATACGATGCGCGCTTCCACCTTCCGTTATTATGAAACGATACTGAAACCTTTTTTTTTTCTTGTTCTAAAAGAACCTTTTCGGCGGGTTTAGGGGTTGGTTTAGAAGAGGAGGTATAACTTGGCTCAAACTTGAAATTTTTATTTAGATTGACTAGAGAATCCTAATGAGGAAAGGCAAAGTTCTTGGAAGAGGACCTGCGTCTGGCCTGTGACCTTGAATGAGGCGATACGCTTTTAAAAAAAAGGGGAATTAGAAGGTGATAATTGAATCTTTAAAAGGGAACACATCTAGGATTAAAACTAGAATTGCTTTTTCAGACGCTGAGTAGCTGTTACCTTATTAAAATTATCGAGGTGGATTAAAGATGAAGGTATTAAGTTGGTCCTTTAACTAGTTTAAGGTAAACTGCAGCATCACTAAACTACTTGAATTGGTTTCCTGCTGAGGCTTAGGAAAGTAGGCTTTTTGGTGTCTGCAGTTTTTAAGGAATGATAATCTTAGTGAAACAAGAAATATGCACTAGTAAATATACATGTGCCCCATAAACTTGAACTTTCTATGGGGAGGTAATACTGTTCTTTTTCAACAGACTCTCACCAGGGGGAAAAAATGGTTGAAGCAGATCGCCCAGGAAAGCTTTTCATTGGTGGCCTCAATACAGAAACAAATGAAAAAGCCCTTGAAGCAGTATTTGGCAAATATGGACGAATAGTGGAAGGTGAGTTATTTGAAAGGATCTAGGGAGCTGTTAAAGTTAAAAATGTAAGCTGTGATGTATTTGATTACGTTGATCGTTTGAAATGATACATTGTTTTGTCCTCTAAGAAGTTCTGAGCTTACATTTTGCAGGTGCACTTTTGTTATTTAATTCGAACTAGAGTAACACTCCCCCCCCCAAAAAATCTGCTTTTTCAGTTCTGTTGATGAAAGATCGTGAAACCAACAAATCAAGAGGATTTGCTTTTGTCACCTTTGAGAGCCCAGCAGATGCTAAGGATGCAGCCAGAGACATGAATGGAAAGGTGAGATTGCACAATGGTAATGTTTCCTAATGCATAAAGAGTGTTACTGAAGTCTGGTCTAGAAAAGTTCTTGATTTGTGTTTGAATGTATACCTTTCCAAAACCCTCTAATCTTCCGCCCTTTGTAATTTCACGTTTTGCAGAGTTGTGGATTATACTCTTAAATTGTTTCAGTTGAGAAAATTATATGACCGTGTGTTATCTGGAATCCATAGAATGCCTTGATATCTTGGCTTTCTTCTGCTGTTACCACATTTAATAACAAGGTGACTGTCTGGCTTTTTAAATGTTACTGACCAGCAGTGTGATGGATTCACCTTATGTTGGAGTTGAACTGATTAGTATCATTCTAAAAAACTTAGAATGGAAAATGACCCTATATTTTACCGCTTTTCTCAGATTAATTGGTGAGCTAAATTTCATTTTGGAGAGCACGTTGGTGTCATGAATGCATAGTGAATGGATGTGCAGGGTATTTTTAAATATTGATGCCGTTAACTGTTTCGATGTTTTTTAGTCCTTAGATGGAAAAGCCATCAAAGTAGAACAGGCCACTAAACCATCATTTGAAAGTGGTAGACGTGGACCACCGCCACCTCCAAGAAGCAGAGGCCCTCCAAGAGGTCTTAGAGGTGGAAGAGGAGGAAGTGGAGGAACCAGGGGACCTCCCTCACGTGGAGGGCACATGGGTAATGACTTCTACCTTAGGCTTGTTGTAGAATTAGGAACTGTAAACCCCCATACCAGTCTGTGCACTGGTTAAGTCCTGTAGTAAACTCTCCAGCTTTTGATACCGAGAAGACCTCATTTATCAAAGTCATGACTTAAGAGAAACCTAGAAGGCATCCTAAGTTAATATTTTAAAAAGCAATAGATCGGAGCCTAGCTAATAACTCTTGGTGACAGGTAATGAGTGAGTCCCACATTGGATGTAGAGATTACTTAAATACCAAAACAATAAAACCGTGGACAACAAAATTGTCCAGAATTTGCAGAAAATTTTTGATGACATGTACTTTGGTGTATAAAAATGAAACAGTTTGTATTTTTCTTTGAAGCAACTTAAGAGTACACTTCAGTTTTATTATTTTGTTAGTCTATGTAGACTCCCTTACAGTTGGTAGTCTTAGGCAAGTGAAAAGCAGGATTCCCCAACTAAACAGAAAATGGTCATTGATAACAGCAAAGAAAACTTAAATAACTTTTATCGATGCTGGAATTAACATGTTTTTCTTTTCTCTTTCAATGTAGATGATGGTGGCTATTCCATGAATTTTAACATGAGTTCTTCCAGGGGACCACTTCCAGTAAAAAGAGGACCACCACCACGAAGTGGTGGTCCTCCTCCTAAAAGATCTGCCCCTTCAGGACCAGTTCGCAGCAGCAGTGGAATGGGAGGAAGAGGTAAATGCTGGATTTCTAGAACATTCTGTTCTACCACTATAACAAAGGATTGATAAGTGAATTTCAAAAATGATGCTTTAAAATAAACGTAGGGGTGCCTGGGTGGCACCGTCTGTTAAGTGTCTTCTTGCCCCACATGGGTCTCCCTGCTCAGCCTGGGGGGAGCCTGCTTCTTCCTCTTCCCCTCTGCTGCTTGTGCTTTTTCTTGCTTGCTCACTTGCTCAAGTAAAATCTTCCAAAAAATTTTTTTTAAAGCCTTAAATGTTAAAAATGATGCTTAATGAAACTCTCATGGACTAGAGGTGAATCTAGGTGTGCATAAAGTTAGAAGTACTGAAAAGAATTGGTTTGTGTGAAGGAAATTTTTAAAGAATCATCTTTATTGAGTTCACAGTGTCTTATTTAAGTTCCTGCTTTTCATTGCCTGAATGTACATGCACATTTTGGTTATATTGAAAAAAATTTTTTTTTTCCTTAAGCTCCTGTGTCACGCGGAAGAGATAGTTACGGAGGCCCACCTCGAAGGGAACCCCTGCCCTCCCGTAGAGATGTTTATTTGTCCCCGAGAGATGATGGATACTCCACTAAAGACAGGTAACTGATGGGTGTACTTAGTTCATCTTCTTAATAACTGAGGTTGAAGGGAGAACTTTGGGAAAGTGTGAACCGACTTAAATTTTTGTCTTTTCAGCTATTCAAGCAGAGATTACCCAAGTTCTCGTGATACAAGAGATTATGCACCACCGCCGAGAGATTATACTTACCGTGATTATGGTCATTCCAGTTCACGTGATGACTACCCGTCAAGAGGCTATAGGTAGGGTACCGGCTGCTGCCAGCCGTGGCTTGCTGGGAAAAACGAAGTCGCTCTGAAATTGATGCCCTGTGCCCTAACAAGTTTTCTTCTTTGTAACTGCAGTGATAGAGATGGCTATGGTCGTGATCGTGACTATTCAGATCATCCAAGTGGAGGCTCCTACAGAGATTCATATGAGAGTTATGGTAAGATACTGGTTGAGGGTCTTTGAATATCACCAGCTTGAGTTTTTAGGTTCATGAGCCACTTTATTAGGCTGTGTGGTGCTTGCTTTTTAAGGGATATTTGCTTGCTTTTAAGGGGTAACTTTATCAGCTGGGCTTTTCCTAGTTTTGTGAGGGGCTTTTGTTTTTTCTAAGTTTTTTTTTTTTCTTTTTGAGGCTGTTTGCTTGCTTTGGAGGGGATTTTGCTTGCTTAAATTGGCAGCCTTATGTGTTTTCCCCCAACAGTGAAAATACAGTTTAAAAATTTTATTAACAAGATCAAATGTTTACCATTGCAATATGAAGGAAAGTCTACAGTTCAAAATTGCAACTTATCACTGGAAAGTGTCTGAGTGCCTACTATAAAATAACAAGCTGTCTGGAATATCCTCTTGAAATACACACCGTCTTCAGTCTTTTCAAACAAAACATTAAAACCCATCCATTTCCGTATCTCAGCAGATGAGCAAATCCCTGTTAATGGCCAGCAATGGCAGAGTTTAAAACCTCCCATTTAAGAAAGTAAACGTTTAATACAAGAATTCTGTAAATTCAGATTTAAATGTTGTATATATACAATTTATAGTGTTGCCATATTACCTGACCATTGACCCTGCAGGTAACTCACGTAGTGCTCCACCTACACGAGGGCCCCCGCCATCTTATGGTGGAAGCAGTCGCTATGATGATTACAGCAGCTCACGTGACGGATATGGTGGAAGTCGAGACAGTTACTCAAGCAGCCGAAGTGATCTCTACTCAAGTGGTCGTGATCGGGTTGGCAGACAAGAAAGAGGGCTTCCCCCTTCTATGGAAAGGGGGTACCCTCCTCCACGTGATTCCTACAGCAGTTCAAGCCGCGGAGCACCAAGAGGTGGTGGCCGTGGAGGAAGCCGATCTGATAGAGGGGGAGGCAGAAGCAGATATTAAAAACAAACAAAACTTTGGACCAAAATCCCTGTTCAAAGAAACAAACAAAAAAGTGGAACCTTTTCTGTCATAACTACCCAAGGACTACTAAAAGGAAAAATTGTGTTACCTTTTTTTAAATTTCCTGTTTAAGTTCCCCTTCCATAATTTTTATGTTCTTGTGAGGGAAAAAAAGTAAAACCTGTTTAATCTTATTTGACTTGATGACATTGCTTTCAATAAGCAAATGTTAAATGTGTTAAGACTTAACTTGTGTACTAGTGTTGTAATTTTTCAAGTTAAAAGTGTCCCTAAAGGCCACTTCCTATATCCGATTTTTCCCAGTAAGTGAGGCAAAGCAATTCTAAGACCTTCCACAAACATCTAGCCATCTAAAATGGAGAGGTGAATCCTTCTGCCTATACAAACAAGCTAGCTGTTAGAGGGCGGTCGGGGGATGCTACTCGTAGGATTTCAGAGGGTCTTCAAACTGAAATCTCCATGTTCTCAGTATGAAAAACCTTGAGATCAGATGCTTATGTAAGGAAAGTGCTATTCACCCAGTAAACCCAAAAAACCAAATGGATAATGCTGGCCATATTTTGCCTTTCTGACATTTCCTTGGGAATCTACAAGAACCTCCCCTTTCCCCTCCCCCCAATAAGACCATTTAAGTGTGTGTTAAGCAACTACAGAATACTAAATAAAAAGTTTGGCCAAAACCAACCATGAAGCTGCAAACGGTGCTTGCTCTTACTGTTTCAAATTTTTGCAACTCTGTAGTGTCTCACTTTTAAGGAACAGCTTGATTGCAAAGGAGAAAATAGATAAGCAATGAAGTTATCTCCAACTTCTCAAAGGCTTATGACTTCTAAAAAGTGAATCTATCAGCATTCCACATCAGATTTAAAGCATCAAATGCCTGTGAAACAGCAAAGATGGTAAGCAAAGCAAACTAGTTTTTCCGTCTAAGTCGAGATTGAACACTTACCTTCCTCATAGTACAGTGAGACATACTGTACCTCATGGCAATGGAAATGCTTTCTAGATTTAAAAAAAAAAAACTTTTGGAAAAGCAAAGTGTTCGATAGCATATTAGAAGTCCTCCAAATTCAACACATGGATTTTTCTTTTTCTTTTTTTTTTTTTAAAGCATGTATGACAGTTAAAGGCCTTAATAATAAAGCTGTTGTATACCAATGGCAATCCGGGGCTCGGGAGGGGGTGTCTTTTTTTTTACTTTTTTAAGTATTTTTTGATGAAGACCTTTAAACATGCTTCATACGTTTTAACATTTTTCAAAATAGCCTTTTAGTCAATATAGGAAATGGCTTAAGTTTGGGGTCCCGATCTCTGCCCCTGTAAGCCATTGCAAACTTGACATTTAGTTGGATGCCTGACTTGTTTTTAGTTCTATGGAACTACACTGTATGGAGAAAATCTATTGCAAGTGGTCTTTAAAAAGCAAAACCTGAGGCAGCATGACCCAGGTCCAGCCATGAAGTTGAAAAAGATGCTCTTGAATATAGTAAACTTGAAGACCTCCAACTAAAATCCTTACACTGCACTTATTCCTTCAAATAAGTTTTGTCCGTTCAACTTATGGATTTAACATGGCAGTGCACCATTGGAACAGAATGAGAATCCATAAGCCATGCGACTTAACCATTTTAAGCCATTCCAGTCCATCCCAAGCCAGTGACTCTACCACCACTTTGAGAATTAGTAGAACATGAAATAACGTTAAGCTGCAAGTCTGAACTTGCCTTTTCTTTCTGGAAAAGAGCAGTTGTAGGCAAGTTTTGAAGATTTTCCTTTAAGAGCGATAACTAGTTATATATTTAATTTTTACAGGTTGAGGATTTTGGTCATTATGCTTGGAGTGCTGATTAATTCACACTAGATAAAGCTGGCCGCAAGAGAAATCAAATGCTAAGGTAAGATTCAGAAGCCGTGGCCTTATAGGTGTAAGTAATAGCTTTTCACTTTGCATACCTATGGTATTTAAGTTTCTTCATGAAGGGGCTTGTAACCTGACTTGTGGATTAGGAGGATAAAGTAATGTGTAACCCCTTGTATGTTCATTTCCCCATTAGAATGTAGGGCAGAGTTTAAACAGGTGTGTTTCCATTAGTGGCTCAGTCATCCACTAGTGCTTTTTCCTATATTCTGTATTTTCCAATGGAGTTACTTATCCTGTAACTGGAAGTTTGTACCTCTTAAGCTCCTTTATAATTAGCTTATTTTTGAATGTATAAAGCTTGCTAATGTAGTCCCCATAAGCAGTGGTTGATTGGAGCTGTACACTTTGTGTTTTGGTATATGAACAAACTTGACATGCATGAGGTTTAAACTTGCTCCCATGCATTTTTGTAAGAGAATACACCCTTTTTAAAGATTTTATTTATTTATTTGACAGCGAGAGAGGGAACACAAGCAGGGGGAGTGGGGGAGGGAGAAGCGGGCTTCCCGCCGAGCAGAGAGCCGGATGGAGGGCTCAGGGCTCGTTCCCAGTACCCTGGGATCATGATCCAGGCTGAAGGCAGATGCCCAATGGCTGAGCCACCCAGGCGCCCAGAGGATACCCTTTTTATTATTGGTGCTTCCTCAGCCACAGTATAACTCAACTAAGGGGAGAACAGATGCCACTGCTTCTCAGTTCCCACTTGGAGAGTGGCGGTGTCACTGGTGCATTGATGACCTAGTAGCACTCAATATTACCAAAGTGATAACAGGAATTATTAATGAGTGTTTTTGGTTGCATTTTAGAGCTTGCAGTTTAAAGCACACGTTTCGTTGCCAGTTAAAGCAGTAAAGTATATTTAGAGAATGGGTAAGAGCGGGGAGTAATTTCCAGTATAAAAGTGTCTTGTGATCTGATCACATGCTTTTCATTTTACAGAGTTGTTGAAGCAGAAGAATGCTGATTGTCAATAAGGCACAACAGTTGCATAAGCAGTACTCATCAGAATTGGTTTGGTGCAGGCAATAGATCTTTGCCTTGGAGGGTTCCTGTGGATCTAAGGAAGGAAGGCATCAGTGTTGGTTAGCACTTAACTAGGGAGTGGTAGTTACTTTAAAAAAGTAATTGGCCAGATAAAGGGGAGCAGCTAAAGGAAATTGGTAAGTGGAGGTAGTAAGTTCTTGTGGTTCTTTATGTGGATTTTACAGCTTTGGTTTTCATTTTGCTAAAGTCCTGGGGACAACTCTGCAATTTAGAACTTCTAATTATTGCTGTCAGAAAGCTGCAGTAGAAAAATGAAAGGCATGAGTGGTAACTCTTTATCCAGTAAACTGATTTTTCAGCAAGTGGGGACATTTGATTTGGTGTAGTTCATTCAGAAGTGGGGTTCAGTCATAAAACGAAGGAGTAGCATCTGGAAACTAAAGTAACTGGAAATGGAGCTGAAACAATTGAAAGCACACTTGAAAAACTGGAAACAAATTGGGCCACTTGGCTTTTTTTAAGTGTACTATTTGTAAGTCTGCTTTACCCCACCACCTGTCTTGGAAACAAACCAGTCATGTTGGAGATTAAAGCCGATAGTATGTAAAGCTAATGTTCTTAAAGGGACTGGATTGGAGTTGTTGGGTTAGAAGAACTAAGTACAAAAACTTCAGAGATTTTTTTTTCCATAGTAAAATCAGTGCTGTCATGTTTAGTCTTCGCAGTTGTGAGAAATAGTCCAAAAATTGTAACCCTCATTGGACAGGCTCTTCTAATCCTAGACCGCGATGAGGGATTGACCACTTTTAAGTAGCTGTTGCACCTAACATAGCTGTCTTCCTCAGTCCTGTAATGTAAACTACCTGGGATTATGTTTCTCATGACTTCTTGGCTCTGGAGATTTTATTTAGGTAAATTGAAAATAGGGTAGAACATAGAAATTAATCATAGTAAATGTGAATACTAAATTCAAATTAAGCATACCTAAATCACCATTCAGCTGTTTGGCAAATAGTTTACTGACCCAGCAGATTTATTCCCCCATTGGAAAAAGAATCCGTCTTGATTCTCCCGGCTTTATACTGGTTGTAAAATGATAAAGAATGTTTTGTTTAACAGTAGTTGAATATAGAACTTAGATATTATAGATCACTTTTCTCTTTTTGGAATGTTTTGTATTTGAAACTTAATAAAACTTAACATGCATTTTTTGTGGCCCCTGGGTTCTTTTTATTTTTTACAATAAGGACTACAGGCTTTTCCGTATGCTCTCCCTATGCCTCCTCCCCCAAACTACTTCTCATGTACTTCTGGCAGCTCTGAGCAGTTGCCATTGTCACCAAGATGGCCTGTTCTGTGACTCGGGCCCCCTAATGAGGGGAATGAGCTTCAGGTGTAGGTATCAAGGTAATTGAGGTGTTTGCATTTCATCTCTACCCCTACATGGGTGAGTGGGACCAGTGACATCAAAGAACTAGAAGTTGAAAGACCAAGGATGTACTCTTGGTGCTTCTGCTTAACTCTTGAGGGAAAACCGGTCCATTTTATATAGCACAGTTCAGTAGCGAATCCCAGTTTGGGCCTTCAGCAAGGCTGTTAACCCAGCGCCTGATGAACACACACCTCTGTATGGGTCACGTTCTCTGCTTGTGTCGGCGGCTCTCTGTGTATCCCTGACTCCCGGGGGACTGTTGAAAAGTTCAGTGACCTTTGTCCTTTATCAAAGGAAGATAACCCGTGCGCTGGAGTGCGGCGGAGCTTCTGCTTCCAGAGGGCTTTGGGGCCTGGATGCGTTGCAGAGCTGTGGAAGAAGAGGTGGTGCGGGAAGGCAGGGTTCGGCCAGGCGGTCGGTCCTGTGGAGGGTGAAGCTGAGGTGGACTGGTTGGTGGTGAGGTTTCCTCATCTGACCGGTTTAGATTTGTGACCTGGGCCGCACTGCTGGGGCAGCCTCCATTTTATGGGTCCCCATTACATGCATGAAATTCATCTGCACCTAAAACATGTATTTGGGTTACGTAGGCAGTTGAGAAAAAAAATCACATGGGAAAGTGATGTCCACCAGGTTGGCAGAATGAAGCCCTAAGTACTGCCCTGTAGGTAAGTTTCTTAGCTCCAAGCCAGTTACTCTAGAAGAGCCAGTCCTTCCTATCAGTGAAGTTGCACACATCTGGATGCTTCCCTAAAA